AGGCAAACACTGCAACCAGATGTTGAATTCGAGCTCTTTCCCATAGACAACATAGGTTGATCAATCCAATTCCATGGGGACTCTTGCTGAATGCAATCAGTTTTACATATTAACATACCTCCTGGCGTTGGGTATAATACAGAAAAGCTGGTGATTATACAAGTATGTTGAATCAGAGGAGACGTGTCATTTAGTTAAGCTGATTGCACTCAGTGAGAGTCTCTGCAGAGTTGGATCGATCTACTTAGATCGATGGTGTCTATGGGAATGCGCCCTCACTATCCTCCCTATCAGCCAAAATCTCTCTAATGATAAGGCACCTTGAACAAAAACTTTCATAACCTTCAGGCCCAGACGAGATGCCAAGATAAACTGCTATCAGAAACTAGGAGCCTTCTATCTCAAACCCAGGTTTGCCCTTGAGAACTGAATCACCCTATGTCTGAATGTTAAGGGTAAACAGCATGCATGGTCTGTCATATTTGTTAGGCCACACTTTTTTATTTTTATGGATGACATCCTGCGCGCGCACCGATTTTCGTCTGTTCTCAAAAAAAAAAAAAAAAAAAAAAAAAAAATCCCCCCCTTTCCCCCCCCCCCTCCCCAGGAAGTTGGTTGTCGGAAACATCGTTATTGAATTTGCCGGAAAATGTAATCAGCAATCCTCGGCTAATTCCGCAAGCTCTATACTGTCATTGTCCACTGCGGAGACATCCGAGTAGTTCAGAGTGCGGAAAATGAGCATGCATATTATCACCATGTGGAAAGATGGCCGCTTTGCCGTCAAATTCATCTCTAGCATTAATTTCAAAATACACGACAATAAAAGTCATAAAGAGAACGGGGGTCGTCGTTTTGGATTGGTTTTCCATTGATATTGGACATGGAGATATCAACCTTTTACAATTATACGAAAGGCTGGCCGCGGCCAGCGATCATCGCCCGGAAAATTTCAGTGACATTCTGTCTAAAGCAGCACATAAGCCCCCTACCAGGTTTTTTTGGTAGCCAAAAAAGGGTAGACAAGAGCGTCGGGGTATTTGGTGGACCGAAGGTTGGACAGGCCATCCGATAGTTGGCTTCTACGTGTGAGTCAAAGTAGACAAAATGGCATCGACCGANTTTTTTATTTTTTTTTGTTTTTAAATTTTTTTTTTTTTTTTTTTTTTTTTTTGGGGGGGACTGTTTTTTTTTTTTTTTTTTTCGCCCGCGCGCACCGATGTTGGGGTCCCCAGAGCATGTCATCCATAAAAATAAAAAAGTGTGGCCTTATATATGTATCATACACCCTCACACTAAAAACAGCAACATTGTCTTTTCTCAAATAGAAAAAAGGGTACAGTAACCTGTTACTTACATATATTTTCTGTTTTTTTATTTAATTCCAATTATTACCTGACAAAGACTATTTCTTTCATCTACCCTATAAAAAAATTGCAAGCCTACAGAATCAGTTTTCATAATAATATCATCATGTCATGCAATGTAATGGGGATATTATTACACCTGCCCTACTTTACTGAAAAAATTGGAAGTCTACATAAACAAGTTTCCATAACAATGCCACCATGTCATGTAATCTGAAGGTAAAGTTATTACAGGCATATGAAGTCACATTGTTCAAAAATTATTGAAAAAAATTTAAATAATTCTACTGAATTAAGTTTTAGTATTAACCCCACCAGACACAGAGATCACAAGACACCATGAAATGACTGGCCTACATTTTAGATAGCAGTAACTTTCCAATGAAGTTGATAATCCAGTAGAAGACATATAAATAATTATTCCTTTTCAGCGGTGTAGACACATGCAGCCATGCTCCATGTTAATGATCTCCCACAAAGAGGTGAAGTTTGTATTCCAGTGCTCTATAACAATTCTTATAGGCGATGTGGACAACTGAAGTTACAGTACTCTTCCACTAAAACTTGCATACCTATGCTCTATAAGGCTCCTCATTGTGCATCAGCACAGGTGATATTGGTCACACAATGGTTCAATGGACTTAGTACAATAACATTCAGAATTTATTGACCATCTTTCACAATAGACACAGGCAGAGAGAAAACAGGGAGGCCATGCGACTTCTGCACCTGACTGACCTTGTGCTGATGGATTCAGATTTCAAAATCAAGTATTCGTAGGAGATTCGGACACTCCCCTTTTTTTAATGACTTTTTAAGTCTAAATATTCAAAGGAAATGAATGCACCAATGAAAATCCATAATGATATCCGTGCAAACTATAATCAACAGATGTTTTCCTATTATAAATACCAACCCTTTAACAGGTAGAAAATAAAAATGCACACAATTGACTATTATGCAAAACTCCATCAAAACAGGTTTAATTTCGACCTCCTCTTACTTCAAACATCACGAAAACCATTAATAAAGGAGGAAAAAAAGTTGAATGGATCTTATCTATTGTTAGTATATTAAATGTATCCTTTTCAAATGAACGTGAAAGAATCTGTTGCCCAATGTTATCAAGGTATTACGTTCTATTACACTGGATTCCTTTATTTGTTTAAAATCAAAATCGCATTGTATGCTGAAGAAACTATACATGCAGTATTACTTTAACCAGTTCCAGTGTGAATTTGTTTAATAAATAAACTTAAAGTAACGATAATTATGGATTATAAGAAAATTAGAAAGTATTTTTATCATTCACAATGTCGAAAATAAATAAATAAATCCATAGTGTGACGGCATTAATTTATGTGTGGCTGATAGAGTAAAATCAGCCCAGACTGAGGTATTCTCCACTGAGTCCAGTTAAGAGTACATAATCAATGAGGCAGGTTTAGTCTATGAATATGATATTAAGCATGTGGATATAAATACAGGACATGTGAACTTCCCAAACATAAATCAAAATCAATAGAGAATGTATCCAGTGTCGTGTGTGTGTGTGTGTGTGTGTGTGTGTGTGTGTGTGTGTGTGTGTGTGTGTGTGTGTGTGTGTGTGTGTGTGTGTGTGTGTGTGAGCATGCACTGCAGTATATTCATGAATAAATATGTTTATTTGTGTTTGGTTATACAACTCATACTAGTATTTTTGTATCTTAAGCAATGCCCCTGACCCTTCCACTGGAACCATAACACCCTCCTGTAAGTAACCATATCTCACATAGCCCAACTATTGATCCTAACAAAATAATAGACCTTACCATTACCATTGCGTTACAGGTGACACAACACAATCACAACTTGGTTGAGACAAGTGCACTCAACCTGAACAAAAACAACCATTATATCCCATTCTGCACACCAGACATGTACATAATAAGAGCTCCACCCGGAATATACTTACTGTAACTTACATAATGACATCACCTGTTTGTAATTAAGTCCATCCTTTTGTAAAGCAAGCAAATAATGATTGAAATTATTCTAGCTATAATGCAACAGCTTCTGAATAATTCATGTTGAAAACATATTTAAAAAGAAAGGCAAAGTCTTATCTTATAGAGAGATTTATTGTATCAAACTCTGAAGTAAAAAAAAATGATAATCAACTGTATCTGAAATAAATGTCATAGATTTTTCATTTTCGCATTTTCCACAAAATGCAAAAAAATCCACTGAACTTTTTCATTCATCTATCCATCCATCCTTCATTTTTTCATTTCTTTCTCAACCATATTCCTTTTTTTATTCATTATCAATATCATCTACATTCTTGCTGTGCTGTAATGCAGACACCTTCACCAAAAGCCTATATCAAAAGCCATGACACCCTTCAGGCAAGTGACAAAAATATCAGGTTTATTGATCATTAGGACTACAATGGGTTCTGTGTATCTACTGGCCCAAAGTAGAAACAGTGCCCAATAAATTTCAATACCGGACTAGTAACAATTTTACTTTCAATTGGCTTGGGGTACAAATTTTTCACAGGCTGCTTCATGAAACTTAACTTGGTATTACCTGAAGAGCATACATGTATTATGCATAATGGATAATGTCTATTTGGTAAGGTTTTATTGCACAATGGTATCTCAGAACTGCCATGTTGCTATATAACATAGACAGCTGTATGAAATTGGTATGAAATTTAAAGAAAGGAAAAGTAAATTTGGTAGAATGTGTGTTTGGGCTTGTGTCTGAGACTGTGCCGAGGGGGGTGGGGGGGGGGGGGAAGGGGAGGATGACGAGGACTAAAAAATTATTATTTAAAAAACACTAGCTGTGCAGTCATAAATAATTTTCAAAACAATATCATCCTCCAATCTCTCCCCTTTTCAGGCAACAGATTCATTTTAACAGTTATATTCCGTTCTTTTATTCATTTGGACAAAAAGATCATGACTTGTAAAGTTTTACGTCTACAGTACGTACAGTACATCAAAGTACAAACTGAAAAAAAATGAGCAAAAAAATATAGTATTCACAATTAACATCAAACACCTACCCAGAAAGAGTCCTTGAATAACGCCATTGTATTTGTGGTACACTTGTCACTTCAGTTTATTCTTCTCTATGTTTACTTCAAGTCATCTTGTCAAACAATTATGAATTTGAATGGCAACATTAATCCACATCCGATTGCTTTGCACTTGTGGATTCTTTCGTTCTTCATTGGGCAAAATTAAGTCATGACTGCCCCCTCAAAGCTTCTTGTCATGTTAGTAGAAAGCGAGAAAAAATATTAGCATTTGTTTTCCTCGGGAATGATAAGATACGCTATATAAGATAATGCTAAAATAAGGTATGACCATCTACACGAGGTGAGCATCATTGCAGTTTAACACTGACAAATAAAAAATAAATAGAATACTTTATGAAATTTTTGAAAAATATAACCTATGAAGTTTTTTCAGAGAGGAAAGCTTTTTAAACAAAAAGGACCAGCTAAGAGTTTTATGAATACTGTTTTAGGAATGGGATATAAAAATTTCCCTAAAAAGAAAAATAAGAAGAAGACAAAATCGATCTTTGTGGCCGCCAACATGATTGAGCAAAATTTATGTGGGGCGCCATGAGCGATCAGCAAATCACTTTCCAGTAGTTTCACCACTGCGGTCCTGATTCTCACATGTAAATTTATTCTATTTCAAGATGGCGGGCACAAATGGAAAGTGAGTGTTTCTGATATTTATCACAAAGCGGTAAAATTATATGGTAATCATATACCACTCATATTTAATCTATAGATCATGAGCGCTGCCTTCTCTGACGTTAGTCAGTATTACGCTATACTGCTTCTTACAGAACTTAGAACGAGAGGGCGGTTGTGTCAATAAAGCCGAATGCACGTTGTCTACACGCATCACGCGCTTTCTTCTGGAAATTTCTTTGTGCGACGTTTCGTTATTAGTCGTTTTATTTATATTAATTGATTTTCCATGTGGGGTATTTCAAGATCAAAAGTTATGTAAGGCGCAAGCGTAGATAGGTGATTAATTTGCAACGTGATAAACAAAGTAAGAAAATAAGTATTGATCAGGATCAGTAACTACTTGCAGCGTGGCCCCCTCAGTGGGTCTCCCCACCCGAAATTATTTATTTAAAATATCACTGTTTTTTGTTTCAGACTTCACCCAGAGGTCATGTGGGCACAGAGAGATGACAAGTTATTTTTAACAATAAACCTGGCTGATGTACGGAAAAAAGATGCAAAAATAGAGCTCAAAGAAGACAAATTAATTTTTAGGTAATAATATATTTTCCATGAAAGCATACTGTAAATTAATAAGATTTGATATTAAAGTGTAATAATATATATATATATATATATATATATATATATATATATATATATATATATATATATATATATATTAAATTTTATTTATTTATTTATTTTATTTATGTATTTTTTTTGTTTTTGATGATGAAAAAAAAATTCACAAGGCATCATGATTGTTTATGTGATACAAATTTTAATTTTAATTTAAGTGGTAATGGTGGACCAGAGAAACATGACTATGAAGCAGAGATAGAATTTTATGCAGCTGTTAAGCCAGAGGTTGGTGTAATAAATTTCACCTTTGAAAATATAAAGAAATAAATAAAACAATGTAAACAGAAAGAAATGTTTCTTATGTAATATAAAGTTGTATTAAACACCATATAAGTAAACTATGTAGTCAGTTTTCCCTCTTTTTTCAGTAACAAGGGATCTTAATTTTCGAAAGTAATTTTCGGGCTAACACAAGCCCATCTTCATTGTTGTCATGTCATTATTATTATTATTATTATTATTATTATTATTGTTATTTGAATTATTATTTATTTTTTGCTAAAGATAGGAAAATATGAGAAATTTGTGCCGATGAATGAATTATTTAAAGTTTCAGAAAAATTGAATTAAAAAATATAGATTTTGTATTTCATCTTTCGTACATATTATTATACGCATAAATATACTTACTGAATATTTTAGGAATCAAAATATACTGTTCAAGCTAGAAATATCCCAATGGTAATAAAGAAGAAAGAATCTGGTCCATACTGGCCGAGGCTTATTAAAAATAAACAAAAGGTAAATATTACAAGGCACTCACAGATATATGTCTGTGTGTGATTTTTTTTATTGTATTTGGCATAAGCATAAGCTATTTTAAAAGAAAACAGAAAAGTTACATTTTGCATCCTGCCTTTCAAATCTGTATGTCCCTGTATTTCAGGTACACTGGTTAAAAACAGATTTTGCCAAATGGAAAGATGAAGACGACTCTGATATAGATGATAAAGAAGATATGAACTTTGAAGAGGTAAAAACTGATTTATTGTTATGGAAAAGACAGGGATAGGATGTATATTTGTATAAGGTTCCTTCTTTTCACGTCATAGATAAAATTTGAAGAGGAAGAAATCGATTTATTGTTGTGTTCAGTCACCAGATGTTGTCCTTTTAGTGTAGAATTCCATCTTTTTTCGCGTCATAGAAACATTTTGAAGAGGGAAAAAAATTTATCCATGTTTTCAGGTGCAAGACCTCTTCAGACAAATTTTGAGATCATTAAAAAAAAAAAGGTTCAGCATACCATTTCAAATGTGAAAATAGTTTCATTGGATCTTAGTTTTGATAGTCAGAAAGGTTTCATTTAGCATAAATCTAGGATCTAGCATAAATGAAACCTTTCTGAATACCATTTCAGTTTCCTTGCTGAACAGTTGGTTTCACTCTTTTTTGAACATAGAAACATAGGTTGAAAAAAAAGAAGCTTTATAAAACCTGTTTAATAGACCTGGTAACAATCACAGCATTGTCAGTCTAGTTTTAAACAACTCTATGCTGGTTTTAAACAACTCTAAAAGATCTTTTACTGATTTCTGTTTTTTACCAGGGCTGATATTTATATTTATATTATGTTGTTTTCACTTCAGATGATGTCACAGATGGGTGGTTTCAAGGGTGGTTCAGGAATGCAAGACTTGGAGGGCATGGAAGCTTCACCAGAAAATGTAAGTATTGAATGAAAATTATAAACTGGAGCTTCTTTTGCTTATTTTTGTTAAATGGGGAATTAGCCAAAATTCCAATTTTAGCTTTCTATATCTTTTACATAAAAATTATTTCTCTGCCTGGCTCTTTACGTAAAAAATAGAATAAGAGTATTGTGTATTATCTGTATAAATTTCATTTCACATGCTCTCAGGTTTTTAACAGAAATTGTTGTCAGTCACTTTGTTCATATTTGAACTGCGTGATTTTATATTGAAATTTAAAAGAAAAAAATCCAAAATCTTTTTTCTTTGTTTTTTCAGGAAGAGGAAGATAGTGATGATGAAGAGTTACCAGATTTAGAGTAGACTTTTTTATAGGCTATCAAGGTTTTCATCTTGAAAATAATGACCTCTTCCTGTAACCATGAAGATTGTTGGTGGCTGGAACATCTAGAGCCACATAATAATCCAAGTTTAAGAGAAATAAATGAGACATTATGGAATCAGGGCAATTTTTTTTTCATACTTTGAAGTCAATATTTTTAAATTTTTGGATAAAATAACCAGAGGCCAATTGAATTTTAGGAAAGGGTTTTTTATAACAAGAATGACATATCCAAGCCAGAAATACACTTTTTTCCCACTGCTTGTGAAAAATCAAACTGCTTTAGGATTGAATGGATTGTATATTAGCAAATTGCAAGATTAGTATGCATAATGTTCAGATCAGGAAGAGAATAGAAAGTCAAAACCAGTGATTTCTATTACCAAGATGTCAAGTTGTTGTCAGGAAGGCTGGATTACAGTGCAAAGTGGATCTACCAGGCAGGAGTGGAACTGTTTTATTTTTTAGCTTTAATATCTCCCATGTATAAAGTCAAGTTATGTATGTAGCCATACATCTCCCTTGTGACATCCACTCTTCTATGTATGCATTTGGACTCCTCATTTTTACTCCCAATTGAGTAAGCTAATCAGATAACTGGTTATTGTTAAACAGGCCTTTTATGTCACAAAGGCATTAAATGTTTGAGTTTCATACAAAGCACAAAGTAGCCAATAGGTAGTTCTTTTTCTTAACTTCATTGTTGAAGTCCTGTAAGTGGATGAAGTTTATTCATCATTTTCTTGCCACTTGGTGTGAGTCAAGCAAGTGACTCTACAAATGTAGCATCATATAAGCCCCAAAGACATCAAATGTAACAGAATATGCCAACATTTAGACTGGGTTCCCATCCCTAGTTCAGTCTAACAGGATCGGTCCTTCTCCACAGGGTCCCTCGCTAAATTACTTTCAGCGCAGGCGGCTTAGATGTCTAGAACGCCCACTAAAGCTGCTAAACGATAGTAATTAAGTTACCCCTTATCAGCCTCAGCAAGCGTGACAGACATCTAAGTCACCCAAGTTAATTGCAATTAAGGAAGAATCCCCTCGGAGATGGTTCACTCTGAAAATAATACAAAAGGGTCTCGGTATGGTCTCTTAGACTGCATTCCCAGACACTTAGATCGATCCATCTGGATCGACCTAACTCCTTGGGAGTTCATGCTAAATTGCTGTCAGCCAAGCGCGCACCATAGTTAATTACCCCCTTACAGCTTTTAGTAGGCGGGACAGACGTGTAAGCCTGTTAAGCTGACACCAATCTAGTGAGACTCCCCAGGGGGGATAGATCGATCTAAATATCTATGGGAATGGGGTCTTAAATAAGTATGGTCATTACTGTTAAATATCTGACACCTTATTCCTTTTTTTACATCATTATTTGAGGTCACTCCTACAGAAACACTAGGGTAAAAACTGGACGTGCTTTATAGAACTTTGAGGAATTTTTTTTCTTTTTTGTAATATTTAACAAAATATTCTGGAGAAGACTAATAATTAATTTTGTTCAAATTGGGTGAGAAATTACAGTAATTGCCAATCAGGTCTTTGGAGAATGTTACATAGATACTGCTCTAATACCATTCCATTTAGGAATTAGAACCTGTACATTATGTATGGGCTAAAGATATCCTTGTATTTCTGTAATGTTAACTTTGGCTCTTGTAATATACGTTCTTTTAGTAAGTAGTTACAGTCAACCTGTCATGGCTAATTGTGAATTCGATCAATTTATACAGTTCTTTCTTGAATGAAAATGATAATAATAAAAAACTTTCCTGTTTTGTATGCTTGGATTTAGTTATATTTTTAAGCTTTGAAGGAGCAATCAAAATCTTGTGCCCTCCTCCTCCTCTGAATTTCAGTTTCCTAGAAACTGGCTAATATGTCAGCATACTTCTGTGGTTTATAGGAAATGAGAAGGCAGAGATATGCTGATAGTAGATGGGGGGGGGGGGGGGTGCAGAGGCCTTCTGAATCCAGGGGGTGCTTTTTCCTGGCATCGTCCTGCACTTTCTGGTAATTATCAACCTGTTTCAACAAGTCTTTAGCTCCAAGATCCTATTCAGATAGACCTGTTGTACTAGTTGGGTTGGTCCAACTCTGGGAGGGGGGGGATTCATGCTAACTGCAATCAGTTTAATTGCCTGACATTCCTCGAGCAGCTAGAAGGTGAATAACCCAAATGCAATTACCCTGATCTACTGGAGGTGGTGGCTTTCAGTTAAGTCAGTTGCACTTAGAAAGAGCCCCCACAGAGTTGGACTGACCCAACTAGTAGAATGTGTTTATCTGAATGCTTCCTAATTTGCAACGCAAACAAGGTTTAGAAACTTTTTTCTTCCATCAGCACACCAACGAGAAACTTGAGCAAGGGTATTAACTTCATGATTTTTCACACATTGGATTCTTCCGTTTGGGATGGGGTGATGAAATTGTGTATCAGAGCTCTAAATGACATGCACTTAGATAGCACCAAATATTTGAACTCCAGTTAAATGGGGGGAAATATTACAAAAGCAATTTGGATATGCTGAATATTTATTTCTTCACAGAAACCAAATATATTTTGACTACAAAGTCTGTCAGTGACCACAGTTACATTATCACGAATAAATAGTTACTTTTAAGCAATTTTATTTCACTGAAGTTAAATATATCAACTCCTGCGAGCCCTTGCTCAGCACTTTGTTATCTATTAAGTAGTGTTATGCAACACTATACTGATTAAATTTTTTTGTGACGTTAAAGAGTTGCTGTCTGAATAATAAATAGTATTCAACTTAGTGGGTGGACTGCAATTATAATAAATAAGATTCCAGTCATCCACAAATAGCCTCATTTCTTCCTTATGAACCATAGTGTTCAAGAATCTATTATCTCCCCTTTCAGTGCCTTTAATTTTAAATGTTCAGCAATTTTCAAGTATCCCTTTTCTCTTTTTACCACTTAAATTCAATTAAATCTTGCCATTTGCTTCAGAAAATTTTACACTGACACAATAAAGTGTCATCATAGAATGTTGATATTGAGAAAAGTTGAAGACACAGATATATCCAAGTCCTAAAAGTGGACTGAAAACATGACAAAAAGATGGAAAAACACCTTTACAACCCAGAAAGAGTTCACTTTTTCATGTAGAGTAATCTCCTGTAACTTTTATTTTTAAGCTTTGAAGGAGCAATAACTAAACGAGACTGAATATATGTTATAGTATAAACCCCATAGGCATTTGCAACATGCCATATAAACCAAATAAGTTCCCATGTTGACTTCCATGTGTCTCAAAACACCCAGTGCTGTAATACCTTGCAAGCATAAAAATGGCCAGAATTCTATGGCTGTAACTTTATGCGGTTGCAATAAGTTAGAGATGATTGATCAGTCAAAATCTGAGAAACATATTGGCAATCAAATTTTGTATGCAGTCTGCTAGTATAATAATACAGTATTGATGAGTAATAAACCCAAGGAGTATTTCTGAAAGATTTGTATTCTTTTTTGTTGTTGTTAGCTTTCTAGAGTTATAATTGGATAATACACTAACATTAAGTGTTACAGTGACATTGGTTTCAAGATGGCAAAATCATCAAACTAGATCTTAGTTTCAATTTGTGTTTGAAAACCATTTCCACAGTTGTCAAAAAGAAGCCATCTTTGTTATCAGGAAACTCTGAATATCAGAGATTAACATTAGAAATAAATAACCACTACAATGCTCCAGTCTTATGTACTTCTTGCACAAGGTTAATACGATATAAACTTATAAATAAACTGTAAGTTAAATATCATAAAAACAAGCTGTACCTTTTTTTTTCCCAAAAAATCCTAAATGTTTCATCATCAGTAATGAGCCAATGAAAGTCATAATTCCATAGCATTTTTATTGAGATCATTACTCTTTTTTGAAAGAGCATACGAGAACCCTAAAAATATACTGGCATCATTACAGTACAGCTGATGATTTTCCTGGTTTTGAAAGCAGCATCCCTGCTGAGCACTAACAATTCACTTGCTAGGGTTAAAACCATAATTTTAATTGTCTTCAAACATAGATAATATAGCAGAACATGCAAGCAATAGGGCTTAAAATATAGTCTGCAGTTTTAGCTTAATTTAGCGTAATTTTTAGTCAGTTAGTAAGATAACATTTTTTGGGGCCAAAAATTCTCTTTATAATACAAACAAACCATATGACAAAGAAAGCTTTAATTTTCGGCCATGTTATGTGAATAAAGATAAAATATCACTGCAATGTTTAGAAAAAAATGTAAAATATATTTTACAGAGTGTGCATCAACACAATCCAAACATGCTTTTAGTTATGATTTGTGACCCGGGAGAGGAAAACCCAGAAAAATTACCAGCTGTAAAGAATTGTTTCAATTAAACATCACATATTAAATATTCATCCTCCAAGGCATAAGATTAAGCAATAAATCCCTTCAAGTCCTCTTCGCATTTTCTTTTGCAACTTTTTTCGCTAGATATTCCTTGTATGAGAATATATCTCCTTCCCACTTGGTGACAGTCTCTTTTTCACAAACCCAAATCTCTTCCGCAACCTAGAATACATACAACATGTATCAGTGTGACATTCAACTCCCACTGAATGAGATAAAGACAACACAGCAAATAACTGTTCCTCTGTTACTTGGCCTTCCCTTATCTTCAATTTCAACATCTTCACTACTTTAAAACTTAATTTTCAAAAGCCCATGGACACTACTGTAAAGAGTTCGTAAATGCTCTCCTATTACTTTTTTTTTTCCGATACTCATTCCAAATTTTACTCATTTTATGAAATTGTGAATACCAGTGGAAGTGAAAATGATATTAAAAAGGTCATACCTGAGAAATAAGCCTGAAGTCGTGGCTGACTAGCACCATGCCTCCAGAGAAGTCATTAATAGCATCTGCGAGGGCGTCAATGGTCTCGATATCCAGGTGGTTGGTAGGTTCGTCCATGAGAAGCAGGTGAGGCGCCTGCCATGCCAACCATGCAAACACCACCCGCCTCTTCTGTCCATCTGAGAGGTTCCTCATGGGGCAGACCTGTGAGAGAAATGGTCGAAATAAGTCTCTGTAGAGAAATTGTAGGAGTCGGAATATTATTTGATTTAGTGGGTTTAAGAGTTGTGTACCGAGTAAGGAAAAAAAATTATAAACTTCTGTCATTTATCTATTTTTTATTTTTATTTTGGAAATACCCAAACTTTGGACAGCACACAATTGTTTATGTATTGCTCAAGGATGAGACAGCCATTTGGTGGGAAAGTCTGAAGATATGGTGTGGGGTCCATGGGGGGGCCTGCATGGATTTCAAAAACGAAATTTTTGGCTTCCAAAAAGTCACAAATCTGTTGTCAGTTGGAATAATCTCATCAATGATTGGTAAACTTGCAACAGATTGATAGTGGAAACTGCAAAATGGTAATGAGCAAAACTATGACAGAGAGTAAGAGATAATCATCACCAAAAGCTGAACCATATGTCTTTCTCACTAACCTGTTGTTGTCCAGTTAGCCCATATCGTCCAATGATCTTCCTCATCTCTTCTACATCTTTGATATCTGGATAACACTTCATCATCCACTTCAATGCAGACATGGTAAGGTCGAGTTGTTCGTGTAAATGCTGAAGCAAAAAGTCATTTTTGATTTAATCTAATACACAAAACAATTTTAAGGGGAGGGAGAAAAGTGACAAACTCAAACATAAAACTATTACAGTTACTACAATAATTTTTAGAATCTCATATTAAACCAAGTGTTCTGTTATGTAGTTTGTTACAAATAAAGCAAATTTGCTGGTAAACTCCTGAAGTCAGCAACATAAAATCGCTTCGAAGTTTCGATCATGGAGTCATGTTAATCAACCGGTGATAACCACCAGGACTGACCATGACCCTAAACCTCGGCCTTTTTTGTCATCATTCTTCAGTCACCATGTCCATATTACATACAATACAGCATGCTACATGCCCCATGTGCTACCAGTAAATTCTGCATGCACTTACCTGGTGATATCTTCCTATCTTAAGATGAGAATGCCTTCGTATAATACCATCTGTTGGGAAAAGCTAGGAGAAGAGAAATTTTTAAACAGTTAGAATAATATCATCACAGTGACTGCTCTTTTTTTTTTTTTTTTTCAAAAAAATGCCTCTAAATCTCAAGGTCTGAAGTCAGATTTGGTTAAGATCGCTTCAGGTATAATCATCGTACTGACACTACAACCAGTCCAGTATGGCCAAAGGATGACCGTACTGACCAGGGAGTGACCACAGTACTGGACCTCGGCCACACATTGTCATCATTCTTCAGACTATGCCACACAGATATTATTTAATTTTTTTATCGAAATTGAACACACAGTCATGATCTTTTTAACTGAATGAAGTTATCAAGTCAAACCAATTATTGAAAAAAAAATTCATCTATTTTCCATTCAAATGTAATTTTTTTTTTTCATTTTCTATCCAATCATGTTCTGTTCAAACAAATTTGAGAAACAAATTGTATCCCCTTTTATACAGTGTGCCATCAACAACTTTTGTATCATAACTGAGAATCAACCATCAGATGAATAAGCCTTTCTTTAAGATGCATATGCAATGCCATTATAGTCAATGACAGTAATCTTTTACATGCATTGTATTTCAAGAAGAGATTTAAAAATTAAAAACTTCGGTGTAATCTATATCTACTGGTCTCACCTCTCCTGCTATAAGTTTGAGTAGAGTGGATTTCCCGGCTCCGTTGGGTCCCACTAGAGCCAGCCTAGTGTCCAAATCTACGCCAAAGTCTAGGTTTTTGTAGATCCAAGGCTGAATAAGGGAAATAAATCAATAAATTAATACAGGACATGTATTTAGATAATAAATTTGTAACTGTATTACATTTGATCATGGCACTTTCTAAGACTGTCTGCACTCTTGGTCAATGATTAATTTCAGTTTTGAACTTCAGTAAAATAGTAAAAATGTCAGCCTTCATTCTACACATTGTGTAATACAGCGATGAAAATGGATCTTTTGAAAAAATCACAAAATGCACACGCTGCAGATATGAGTAGACTGTCATCTCAAATGACAAAAGATGTGTTGTGTATAAATACCTTGTCATCCTTGTATCTAAAGTTAACATGTTGTACCATGATCACAGGAGGAGGTATGTTACCACATTCTGGGAAATAAAAACTCAGCGTCTGGAAAACAAAGTGATTCATATTACAAAAGACGAAGGGAAACAGCTTAATTAAAATTTCACCTCAAGATTGCCCAAAGAAATTACTTTTCCTCGACTGATCCAACGAAAAATACTTTTCAGGTTTTTACTATCTGTCTGTCTGTACATGAGTGTACATGTGTCAATTAAGAAATGTATATCAGCCAAGCATGTGTGTATGTGTGTGTTCGCCCACGTGTTTTCATACCCTCGTTGACCATTTACTAACACACACACACACACACATTACACCATTTCCTTACCTTGTCCCTGGTAACTTTCTCTGTCAGGCCACCATCAACCATCTTCTTGAGAGTTTTCTCCTTGCTCTGAGCTTGCCTGGCCAACTTGGCACTGCCGTGACCAAACCTGGCTATGTAGTTCTGGGTGGAAAGAAATTATGGCACAGTTAATATCACAGAATGGCACAAAGGACATATGCTGTATATTAACAAAGGACAGGACGTCCTGATAACAAACTGTTTCTTTTTTATCATACCAGAACACTCAAATAGCCATCTTGTACCTTGCAATTTTTCATATCATTTAAAACAAACAAAAAAAAATCGATCAAAATTGAAGACCGAAAATCCTGAAATCTGGTATAATCCTGAAAACTTGAACCAATGAAAATACTGATACCTGCCATCTAAACAGAACAGAGAAATGTTTAAATCAGCAAAATAATGCTCAAGTCTTATCCATTAAATTTTCATTCACTGTTTACCGGTACAAGTCTGAACATGATCTTGTCTTGTCACACACACACATTTACACAAACAGCAAAGACTGAACTGCCCCTACCTTCATATGAGCAATCTGATCCTGCTCCCAACGATACTGCTTCATCTGGTTCTCCTCCAACTCATACCTGGTCTGCATGAAGGAGTCGTAGTTACCCTGGAAACAAAACAAGAACACATAATAACTCTAGATTTTCGGGAAATACCAACACCTGGAGCTGACTTCTTGAAGTCTTGTTCTGCAAATTGGTTTTATTCCATTGCATATAAGACTCTTGACTTATTTCCATAGGCAGTTTTATTGCTGAGCTGCAGTTCTCATAATACATAAAATATATCTATGTGCTCATTTACGAATGTGCTACAGGTAAAAGTCCTCATGATCTATTTCTAATACTGATTTTTTTTATACTGTTTCTGCCTGTAGCAAATAATTTGCAATTTTACTTAATTTCAGAATGAAAGTCTTAAATTGAGGATAGACAAAAACTGTGTGGATAAAAGAAAAACAAAATACAGAGTAAAAATCCTTCTTTGACAACTTACTCCGTAGTATTTTAGCTTCTTCTTCTGCATGTGGATGATATTCGTGCACACATTGTTCAGGAAATCTTGTGAGTGTGAGATCATCACCAGCATCCGAGAATAACTGAAAGACAAGTTATTTTCATCCTATATTAATGTACCCTGGATGGGAGAGGAAGGGAGGGGGGAGCTTACCATTGATCTGGTTTGTCTGGTGATGTCAGGCAGACTATTTACAGTTTGGGTTTTGCACATTTCTGAGCAAGTAATAACAATTCATTTTCTTTTACACAACATTGCATACAAAAAAAAGTGGACCTTTTACAATTATCAAGAAATACAAGCGCAGAAGGCCGACAGCCCTATATGCAGCACGTAAACATCAGGATTTCCCGAAAGTTTGGGGAGACCTTCATTGCCAGGTGTAGCTCTTGTGTACATGTTTAACGTAAAGGGTAAAATTCTGTAGAACTGCATTTATATTCTGGAAATTTGACCTTTCAGGATACAAATCAATTATCTATCTGAGAACTTTTGATAATTTTAATTACTATAAGGCCACTGGAAATTGTTAACCCAGACTGGAAAAACCCTTTAAAAAGTCTTACTTTTTAAGCTCAGATTCCAGCCACACGCAAGCGTCCAAGTCTAAGTGGTTGGTGGGCTCGTCAAGAAGTAGCAAGGCTGGTTTGATGAACAAAGCCCTCGCCAGTGACAGACGCATTCTCCAGCCACCAGAGAAGTTCTTCACCTAAGTGAGAGAATGTTTATATGTTTATGTTTATAAATGTTGATATTAGGAGTATTATCAGAACACAATTATCATTTATATACTTTAAACATCTTACTTCCACCAGTATTCCATTTTTTCCACAGCATCATTTTTAGTTACTCCCAAAAATGTTCTTTCTGACATAAAACCCCATATGCCTTTTTTCAAACTTAGTAATCTTTTCCAGATATTACCAGCAAAATGTTCTTTAAAGGTAATTTAGAAAAAAAAAAATGAAGAGGTACCGCAGTATGTTGCATCCCCTGTGTGAAGCCCAAACCACGCAAAATATTTGCCGCTTTTGCCTCAGCCTTGTTAGCATCCAAGTCATCCAGACGGTCATAAACCTCCATTAGCCTTTCATGAATGAGGTCTGGAAAATAAACAATAAAAGGAACTTAGTCAAGAGAAAAAAGTTTTTAAACAACCATATGTTCAATATTTGTTGTTGCCTATAAAGTTTGAAAAAAAAATAATACACACATTTACGACAAAAAGGTATTTTTCACCATTATTATTCCAGTAAAATATTCAAGCCTAGTTTGTTAAAGTGCAGGAGATCAATTAGTGTGCATTAACAGAGTGGACCAAGAAAAACACACTCTTCCTGTTACTTATTTTGAAGTAAAAAGGTATGCTACTTATTTTGAAATAAAAAAGTAAAGTTTTTTTTCTTTTTTAATTTTGTATCTTTGATGAAACAGATCAGCAGGCTGTGTATAATATAATAAGTCAATTGTAAAAACCAGAATCACTTGAAAAAAAAAAAACAAAACAATTACCATCATCCCCTCGATGGGACAAATCCTCAGCCTCTTTCTCAAGCCGTATCCTTTCCTCGTCAACCTCCATGACTACCTCCAAGGCAGTTTTATCGCTGGGTGGCATTTCTCGCCGTAAATGAAATATATCTATGTGGTCTGGTATAGGAACCTCTCTGTTGCCCAGGACTGATAATAATGTGGACTTTCCTGGAAAGATGAGGGAAATATATACATCAATGATGACATTTTACGGGCACTTAATATCTTTTCTGATGAGAGATGAGAGATAAAGACTCTGAATAAAAGTTAAACTGTAGTTAAATTTGCAAAACCTTCCATTTTAGAAATTGTATGAAACATGTTCAAGATACTGCTTGAAAGTAAACAGTATCAAATGTCCAAAATTATAATAATACTTTATAATAATTCACCCCATAAAATGGCTAACAGTTTGAACAACTTTCGAAACTATATTGTTATACTGTTATCTATGTACCAGTAAGACTTTATTGTCTGCCATCCTTCCTCATCCAAATATTTTCCAACCAAAAATCAAACTGAACTCACCACACCCATTTAGCCCAATCAGCCCATACCGTCGCCCACAGTTGAACTCTGCACTTGTATCAGTGAGTATTTCTGCTCCGTGAAATGTAATGGTCAGCTGATCTAGCTTAATGTCCCTGCTGTCAGGATGTGACGCTAACACACCCGTGCATGCTCGAAATTTGGCAGCAAGGTCAAGGCCATCGAACTCGGCAGCGAGATTGGCATCAACAACATCTGTTGAGGAGAGAATAACTGAGTTTATTTGTCGATAGGATATATCATCAGATATACAAGTCCTTTATATATATAACAAAATATTTTTCAAAACAGCATCTCAGAGGTGATAATTCTGATAAAATGCCATTCTTAAACATAATTTTCAAGTTATAATATAGTATAGTCAGGCTAGACAGGTGAGAAAATAATTTCTAACAATCCTGAACAGTGGTACATATGATCTAAAAACAGGATATTACGCAACTATGAACAGACCATGAAACACAAGAAGAGATTAGGGACTGAAACCAAGAGACTTGAGATGATCTCACCTGTTCCATTCTGTTTAGCCTCTCCACTGGCTTCCCCTGCTCCATTCTGTTTTGGAATTCCATTTTCCTCAACAACATTTTCTTCAGCAACTCCATTTTCTGTCTTTGTAGGCTTTTTCTGTCCTCTCTGCTTTGCTGCCTCTTTCTTCTTTGCGTCACGCTTCTTTTTGGCATCAGAAGGCATGTTTAGTTCTTAATCTGAATCAAAATCAGACGAAAAACAATTAATAATTTGAATAAAATATATCTGGCCTGTATGACAGTCAAACAGTTTCTTTAATTGATAGTATAGAATCTGACAGAGGTACCATATGACAATTCAAAGAAATGTTTAAATTGTACTGCTCAGTCTGATAATTCTTGGTCTATCACATAAATAAGCCTCAGGTCATCTCATGCAGCTGTTAACTATTCTTTAAGAATATAGCAAATATATCATGCCTATCCTTTTCAGTGAATCACTAGACCATATCATCTGTGAAATACAAAAGAGACAACTGGGTGAAATCCCAAATGCTGCTGGTCACTACGTCTACTTTACCTGATACCAAAAACAACAAGTCGAGAAAAGATGTAGTAACTCAGACCTCGTCTATACATCCGGTGATAACCATACAAAAAGAAAACCCACACCGAAAGAGCTCAACAATGCCATTTGCCAACCTCCCAACAATGAACTCTCAAAAACGCACCGGCGTTTCACTTTTTATAATTCTACCTGTCATTCAAATACCACACGTCAATATAATTGTTGTATGTTTAATGTCAACAATCAACAAAATGTAGTCTGATAACTCTTCTGTTATAAAAAAATCGTGTCCGGCTGATAAAATACGTCTCCATACGTCATTCTGAATAGCCATTGAGGTGATTTTACAGGCGAAAACGACCCTAGTTGTCAAGGCTAATTTACCCATTTAGATTACAGTAAATACTAAATACAAAACTAAGTAAAGTTCTAAATATTATAAAGGATTCATAACAAATCTTAAATTATACATCCAGTATGATTTTGAGTAACAAAACGTACCTTCCTTCTCACCTTACTTATTCCGCCAAATGTCTTTACATGTGCTTTGACTATGGCGAATATTGGATGACCACATATGGAAATTTCCGTTGTGGGCGGAATCACCCGATTAGCATCTAGCTGCAGTAAATTTATACGAATGGTACATTGGTAGAAACTAGCACAGCAACTTGTCATTCTTTATCGTTTTGTTTAAAAAGAAAGACTCTAAATGTCTTTAAATAACATATTAGTAAACATCAAAGGTATATTTTATTGCTGAAAGAAAATGTTTTTAATATAATTCCCCCATTTAAATTTCTGCGAGACTATAGCAAAACAAACGTGAAAAGTGAAACATGGAGCAGTTTCACAAGTGCGTGTAAATTCTTGCAATTGTCTATTGAATCAACAATTCATAACACGCAGATGAGTTAACCACTAAGGTACTAGTCTGTCTTATACCAGAGAAATGTTTGGTGACTTATTCGAGGCCGAAGAGGACGCCGAAACTTCCTTAAATCAGGCCAGTGGAAGGGTCCACGGCTTGGAGAGCCCTCCGCCGCCGCGGCTCCCAAGCGGCTTGTGTGGGATAAAAAATCAAGGCGCGACCTGCTATCTAAATTCCTTGCTACAGACTCTGTTGTATACACCAGAGTTTAGAGGTACAGTTCAGTGCTTTTTTTTTTGCGAAATATTTGTTATCTTTTTTTCCTTCTCTGCTGACTTGTCTGGGCTTGCCTTGCGAAGTTATTTTGAAACTTGAAAATTGCTCACAGTATAGCAACGTAATGTAGGTCTTATAAATCATTTTTGGCTTAATTCAGCCACATCAGAAGCNATATATATATATATATATATAATCAACAATTGCTGCCTGGGCAGAGGTCTGCACTCTCGGAGTGCTTTTCTAGTTTTGTTTATTTTCCTTAATAACTTTTTTCTCAAACACTTGCATTTGTGATATTTAACCGCCTGAAGCTCTGCACATTTTCTGTATTTCCACATAAGCAGTTGTATGTTATTTATGTTTTCAAACATTATGTAATATTATTTTATGCACTGTCATCATTTTTCAAATATTGAGACTTTCATCATGTGACTTTGGTCTCTCATGGTCCTGATACTGTAATCTTATTGAAGGGATGGATTGAGACCATCTTCTGGGTCAGCTTCCGGAAGACGTTCAGATTTTTAAGTTTATATTGACTGATATTTATTTTTTTTTCTTTTGGAAGATCATCAAAATAGAGGATGGATCAACAAAGATACTTTGGAATACTGTCAGAAAATATCTCTGGGTCAGCTCCTGTTATTGACCATGTTACCTGTTGTGCATGATTAAAATTCAGTGTTGACTAACAGTGCTATTATAAGCATTATTTATTATTGCATCAAAATTGGCAAAATGACCTATTTTGCATCTTTATTTTCTGTTTTTTGTCTGTACATTTGACAGCTTTGCTGCCTTGTTTAGAGTGTTTATCAGTTGAACATACATAATTGAGCATACAAACATTTGGATTATTTCCAGGTGCGAGTTATTCCAATTCAGTTGCAGAGACTGTTTGCCAGGTTGCTGCTCTGTAATCAGCAAACTGCCAGTACAACAGAGCTAACAGACAGCTTTGGCTGGACAAATAATGAGGTTTGTGTATGATAATTACTTGATCTTTTAAGCGAGGGAAAATTGTGTATTTTACAGATACTATATTTTTAAAGTAATAATTTCTTAAAATTAGGACATTCGATCCTATTGAGTGGAAGTGACAAAATTAAAAAGCAGGCCACTAAAGTTTGATAATTTTTGCCCATTGAAAAGATCCAATAAGTACTGTTCTCTGCCACCTTCTTTCTTTCTTTCTTTCTTTCTTTCTTTCTTTCTTTCTTTCTTTCTTTCTCATTTGCACATTCTGTCACTTCTTTGCTCTCTCATTAATTAACTGTATGTCCTCCTTTTATCTATCTGTCCATAACAATAATAATAATAATCACAAAAAGAATACAGTAACTATATACAGTAACACTTCTGGCATTTGGCTAGATTGAATATTTTTCCAGAAATAGCTATAAAGAATGATTTGGCAATCCACATGGCTAGTAACTTTCACTGTCCATTTTCCTCTGTATAACCAATATGAACTTCATATTATCAGAGTCTACAGCAGCATGATGTTCAGGAGTTGAACCGTATACTGTTCAGTGCAATAGAGGATTCTTTGGTTGGCACTGCCAGACAGAGCCTTATCCAGGAACTCTACCATGGGACCATTGTGAATAAGGTGTGTATATGTCAGTGCAGTGGTTGAAGTTTAGCACCAGCAGATTTAATGTTTAAGGGTAATCAGGAGCGTAGATATTATTTTTGTTAGGTTGATAGTTTTATAAAAATGTCCCTCAGCATCCCTTAGCTGTACATAATTACAAGAGATTCATATTGAACAGGGTGTGAATGGTTTATGTGCCTAATCAGAACCTTTTAACAAAGGCCCTGTGGACATTGAGAAAGAACACTCAATTCATTGTATTTGTAATTGTAAATTTGAGATATTCTGAACCATCAATATCTATCGTGTGTGTGTTTTTTTTTCAAATATTAAAGTCAGTGTTTTGTATTGTCAATTCCAGATTATTTGCCAAGAATGTGGAAGAACCAGTGAAAGACAGGTGAAAACAACACTGATATGAGATATAATTTAAAAAGCTGTAACTCAGTAGTATCTCTCTCTCAGAAATACTATTGACTGGTCACCTATCAAATGATACTGTCAACCTCCTAAATCTGAAAAGTAAACCTTCATATATCAAGTTTCTTAGTATGTTGAAGAGAGAGAGAGAGAGAGAGAGAGAGATCTTATTTTTTTACCTTTCAGGAGGACTACCTGGACCTACCTGTCACTGTGGTGGACACAGGAAGTCTTGAGGAAGGACTTTGTAACTGTTTTGTGGAGATGGAGACCATGGATGGCAAGAACCAGTACAGATGTGAGGGATGCAACAGACTGGTCAATGCCAGAAAGGTAAAAGTGAAAGAAAATGGATAGAGTGCAAGAACAGGGTTGGTATTATGTGATTTTGGTTTTAATATGGGTATAACAGGAGAAGTAAAAAATTATTGAATGATATTATCTAAGAGATGTTTGAACGCTTTCAGTTGAACACATGTGTTTTTTCAAGTTTTAATTAAAACTTACTTTGGCTTTTGGCAATTTTTTTTTTTTGTCAATTTGTGCTTGATATGGCAAAATAATTGATATTTGTCTGGATGAAAAAATGTTTACATGCTACCTTTGATATTTTTCTGAAATGCCTACACTGACTTATTTTCCAATTTCAGGGCGCAAGATTGAAAAGTTTACCTCCCATTTTGACATTTTCCTTGCTCAGATTTAGTTTTGATTTTGTAAAAATGGAAAGATACAAGGTACATCTTGAAAAAGTGACTGAAATTTTGAAACAGTAAATTTGATCAGATTTATAACATTTCATGCCAAGCTACATTGCATTATCTAGTATGCAGAAATCCCTAAAGAATGATAACAAAAAATGCTTTAGAATTAAGTTACAGATTGAATACTTTTTGACTTGCATAAGATTTAGTGTGTTACAAAGCCTTCATTGTTTTAGAAATTTTGAAAAAAAAAATGAGGCAATGTTCTTTAAATGTTCTTGAATTTTTGTAGGAGACAGGAAAGTTCACTTTTCCTCGTGAGATAGACATGGGACTTTTCTGTGATGATGTAAGTTTCTGGGTCTGCATGGTGGTGATAATATCTTTTAACTGTTTTTAAACGTGTTCAATTGAAAATTGTTCCATAATAGATGGCATATGACACAGGCTATTTAAAATGGTAAAGAACTCTTCAAATTACATTTGCCCAAGTAATCTAAGGTAATTGTTTCATGATCCTTCACTTATTATTTTTTCTCAAAGGGACATTATTTTCAATTATATGTTTGTTCTTCAGCCTGAAGATGCAGACACATTATATGAACTCTTCTCAGTTGTTATTCATACGTAAGTCTATATTTTTTGAAGAAGTGTACATTTTTTGATAGAATTCAGCTCATTAATCAATATTTGGAAAGCATAATTTTTACTTGCATTGTTTGGGTTTAAGGAATAATTGTCAGCAAGATATAGAAGATTGCTAAAAAAATGCATAAAAATTTAACACTAAGTCTGTTTTTTTTCCTTCTGTGAGAAGCAGCACTGAATAATTAGAGCATTCTGTTTCCGTAGGTTTCTGTAGATTTAATATGCAGCCTTAGAATTGATGCATCCTAAGAATAAACTCATCCTTTATAATGTTCCCGTTGTTTTCCAGGGGTAGTGGCTTTGGTGGTCATTATCATGCTTATATCAGAGATGTGGACAATCTGGGCAAGTGGACAGCACCTGTAAGTCCGTTTATTAAGTTTATTTATTTTATGAAGAAAGAATGACCAGACATGTATAAGAATAATAAACCAAAAATTGCTGTGGTATTCCAGTTTGCTTTTTTTCACTGATATTAGATGATTTATCCAGTCATTGTTAAAGGACAACTCAGTGGGTTAGATTAATGTATAGAAGCAGGTTCTATGTAAAACTTTGATCAGATTTGTGTTTTGGGAGATTGTTTATTATTATATGAATAAGTCTGGGTCACAAAAGTCCTGTTAAGACAACTAGAATAAAGAATTAGAAAACGAAAACTATTTATCATGATTTCGGAGCACAGCCAGAAGTACTTCCGGCTCAAGGTTACGACCTCGATTTTCCCATGCTTACGACCAATCACAGCAGGCTTCAGTCAGAATGAGATAGACGACAGACTACACAGCGAAACTTGTCAGACATGTAAGTGCCGCCTGTCCATCTTTTGGGTACATGTACCGATCAAAAACAGAAAACGTAAAGCCCAAAACGCTCTTATACACGTAACCAACTTTGTATGAGCACAAATATTGTCATTTATTGTGAACAGGATAATATGATAATCAGACACACTTGAGACCTGTGAAGCGCATACTCACGTGTCGAGGAGTAGTTTCGCCATTGCCTCGTATGTGAGTCCTAACTCAGCTTTAAGTGTCCTCCACCGCCCCACCTCCCTCCCAACATACACAGTCTGAGTGCTTCTTCGTCTGTCTCTAATTTTCTTTCGTATCTTTCGAACTGGAGTGGCTATTTTCTTTCGCCCCCTTTTGTCGCTCTCCTCTTCAGACTTGACGCGCGTCTGAGCCATGTTTGCTGTTTTGGCGCCAAATAGTAACATCCGGGTCTCAGCCGTAGTACTTCATTCATAGTAAACCGCGAGACTTAGCGAGAAATTGCGCGTTCTGAAGCCGTACTGTGAGGTGGTAGCTGAGTATTTAAGACGAGTCGTCTTTTATTATTTAATGGAACTTAAAAACGGTATTAGGTAGCTTCATTTTCTGAATGGTTTTGGATAGGATATACCTTGGTCATTATGGGGAAATTGGTGAGTTTTCCAGGAAAATTCATTTTCGTGCTATTTTAAGGGTTTAACGCGCTGAGACTGTCTTTAAATGAAAATCAGTCAACTTATTGACTTTTTTGATAAATTTGGGAGGGATTAGTTGTTGGAGACTTAAGTTTTGCATAAAGAATGAATTACTTGGACCAAAGATGGATAACAGAAATATCTTATTGCTTAGCCCCAGAGCAGCTATTTACAAAATGAAACTGATTGTTCTATGTTTTTCAGGAAAATGCCGAGATCTGTCTTCCTACAGACCCCTCCACTGGTAAAGTAGACTACATAGAGTTTGAGTCACCAGTAGAACTGGTTCAAGCACTGCTCTCTAGGGAGGGGAGGCAGGGAATGCCAGTGGATAAACTATGCACTGTAAGTTTGTCAAGATTGTTTTAGACACCCTGTTGGGGTGATAAGTATTTTTAATCTGTGTCGGTGTTTGACAATAACAATTTTGAGCACTTGGCCTCCAAGACAAGAATTTTATTTGCCCAAAGAGAGGATTGACTCAAATTCATTTTTGATCTGGAATTTTTATGGTGATGTAATTTTTCACCAGTGAAAATATTTTTCCCCATTTATGATTAGTTTGTTGCTGAATTAAATGTGATTTTGTACTTTTTCTTTAGGAAATGGTCAAACAAACTGGAGTTTCTTGGAACAAAAGGTTCAAGAAAACCTATGGGCCAATTAACAAGGTACAGTTATGCCTTGTTTATTTAAATTAATCTGATAGATAACAAAAGCTATGAAGCAGGGAGGTAGGAATGCCACCTGATTCAAGGAGTAAACTTTTTTGCTGCATTGACATGACAAATTCTTGTTGCTCATTTATGTCCATTTGTCTCCTTTTAATTTGTAAATCTTTTCAAATAGTAGATGTTACTTCAACTAAATAATGTTCAACAGCTGTGTGCTTAGCCAAGCCTTGCCTGACTTCTGAATTCATTTTATTTTAATAGAGAATGATATGATTTAATACTTAAAAAAAAACATGATCTTTCATTACACTACTTTTGAATATTCTTCTTCCAGTTTTTGAAAAAATTTGATGACAAATTTGTGCTCAATTCTGATGTTAACTGGGTGTACTTACAAGAATATACAGGATGTCTACAAGGAAGCAATCCAGTTGGTCAATCATTGTCACATGATGTCAATAACCAACGAAGTAGAGAGGGGGGAAACAAAGTCTCAGTACATGCGCATAATGAAAATCAACAGCAGAAATGCAACAAAATGACAGAGAAGACTAGGTTTGTTCTTGTTTTTCTTTTTGCTGTGTACATATTCTATCATAAGGTGTGTGGGTATGTTTGTGTCGCTTGCGCACGTGTGTGTGTGTGTGTGTGTGTGTGTGTGTGTGTGTGTGTGTGTGAGAGAGAGAGAGAGAAGGAGAAAGAGAGATTTGGTGTGTGCCTTTATTGGTTTTAACTCCCCCCTGCCTCAGCACTACACTTGAAAGAGTTGAACAGCTTGCTTTGAAAAAGGATCAGATATTTTCAATCTCACAAAACAAGCAATTGCTGATTGAAAAAGACGTATTTAATTGTACCACCAGCGTAGGCGCTGGCGGTACCCATGGTTTTAGTCCCGACCCGTATGTTCCGCCGGCTCCGCCGGCTCCTGCGGCTCCGCCGGCTCCGCCGCCATGTTACCGTTACCGCTTCTCCTCCTAGACGGTAAGGGCCCCCGTACCCATCTCATGGATTTAGGTCACCTATAATCTCAACTCGTTCCACGTAAAATTTGGGCTTTGTCGGTATTGGGGTCTGGGTGTGGCACTCATTGCAATGCACCCTTGTCTAAAAATGGCAAAATTAAATGCTAATTATCTACCCTAC